AACAATTTCCCATTCACTGTTTTCCCAAAAATCATTCATATCTACTTTAGATCCAATGATTAGAAGATCAATTTCAGCTTTGTCATATGTCCAGGAACCAAATTTTAGGGAACGATTTTTTTTTTTTTTTTGTCCTTTTTGAGACCGGCCACACCATGCTCAGCCAGTGAGCGCTGTGAGCGCACGGGTCATCCCTATATAGGATCCGAACCCGCGGCTGGAGTGCTGCTGCGCTCCCAGCACCGCACTCTCCCAAGTGCACCACGGGCTCGGCCCTTAGGGAACAATTTTAATGATCAAAAGGGAAAAAGGTGATATCCGTAGGACAGGAACTCTTACCAACAGCTGGTGGAGTCCAGGTTACCAGGCCCTCATACTGAAGAAGAGCTTTTGTTTTGCCTTCGACGTGGAAGTCACCAACAGCACTGCAAAGTAAATCAGACAACGTGAGTAACACTCCCTCTACACGCACCACGGGCAACTCTGGAGAGGGACTGTGGCTGTCAGACACCCATACTTGTTATAGAGAACAATGTCAGGCTTCCAAGTCTTGTCCAAGGGAACACGAAGAGTCTCAGTGCCATCATATTCTGTTGGATCCCAACGCAATTTATAACCATTCCAGATCTAAAAGAAAAAGAAATAAGTTTAAACAATTTCTTAATAACTTTCTTCCAATGTTAACTTTATGTTGGTTCAATGGTTGCTTTTTTTAAAAAATAAATAAATAAAATGTTACCTAAAGAAAAGTACATTGGTTTCTATCAAAAGTTGGGGAATTATGTCCATGGGGAACAGGGAGCTAAATAGCTGAGCTGGTTTAGGCAAATATTTAATTAGGTAATTATCTATTGATTATTGTTAATTGGCCAAGCTTATCAGCTCGGCTTCTGTGTTCCATAGACTATACTCAAACTGGAATAACAACCCATTTCTAATATTAAAAAAAATAGTTCTGGGCTGGCCGGCTAGCTCAGCTGATTAGAACTCGGTGTCAAGGGCTCGGATCCCCATACTGGCCAGCCACCAAAAAACAACAACAGAACAGAGAGTTCAAGTGCATGATGAGGAGTTTGTTACAAAATCTGTGTAAAATATTAAGACTTTTTAAGGAAGAAAGAGATAGTATAACTGATAAAAACCAGCCGGTGGGAATCTAACCCACACGCTCCTGAACTCCGCTACCCACGTCTCTAGGCCTGAGCAGCAGGGTTCGGAGAGTTACAGGTGAAGGTGGGAGTCTCGAGAGCAGCCACCAGGACAGAGGATGCTAGAGACGACAGGCCGGGCCACAGGCTTCTGCACAGTGGTACTCGCGTCAAGTCGGCCGTTACCAGGGCTGCGCTTTAGGCTTCGGAGATGACAGAGTGGATAGCATTTTATACTCTATCACAAGCTGGAGAGGGACAGAGGTAATACTAGGGGGTTTTATCCATTCGACTTTGTTAAGCTGACACGAGTAACACGGTTCAAAGAGAGGGACACATGATACAGACACATACGTGACGCAGCCACAGATCGGTTTCCATGATCTGGTTTACTTCATCCTGGGAAGAAGAAGTAATTTCTTAGCCTTAAATGTACTTGCTAATAGCAGTGGGTCTTTTTTTTTTTTTCCTTTTTGTCTTTTTTCGTGACCGGCAACGGATCGTAACCCTCGGTGTCGCGCCCGTACCGGACC